CCCCACCCTCCAAACCGGGACTTTCTGCTGGAGCAGGACACAGACCTGGCATGCGTGACCGAGACCTGGGTGCGAGATGGGGAGACAGTAGCACTCTCCCAGTTAGCTCTGCCTGGGTTCTCGGTCCTTCACTAATCTCAGACAATGGGGCGGAAGGGAGGAGTGGCTCTGTTCATTCGAGAGGCTTACTCCTTCAGGGCGCTCCCGGTGCCAAGGCTCACAGGCACTGAGTGTGCCGGCTTTGTGTGGAAAGCCAGGGAGAGTTTGGCTGTTTGGTTGGTGTACCGACCGCCTGACAGTCTGCTGTCCCTGGTGGAGGCCGTGTTGAGCTGGGCACTGGAGCACCCTAGACTGATAGTCCTGGGTGACTTCAATGTCCATGCCGATGATATGGCTTCCTCATGGGTGACGGACCTGATGTCGTCCATGGGGGCACTGGGACTCTCCCAATATGTAATGGCCCCCACTCACCATGCCGGTCACATGCTTGATTTGATCTTCGTGGCAGGGGTTACAGTGGACCGGATTACTGCTACAGCAGTTCCATGGTCGGACCACCATGCCCCAAGGGCCCGAGTGAATGTGTCACCCCTACCCTGTTTGGGCAGCGAGCGTATTTTAGCTCACCTGCGGAGCCAAATGGACCCAGTGCAGCTTCATATGGCTCTGCGGGACCCCATGCCCCCTGGCCACTCATTAGATGAGCTAGTTGAGGACTGGCAAAACCGACTCTCGACAGCTATCAACGAGATTGCCCCCAAACGACCTCTGCGCCCGCGCACTAGGCTGGCTCCTTGGTATACCCAGGAGCTGAGGCTGATGAAGCAAAGGCTTAGACGGCTGGAGAGACTGTGGCGGCGTGCTCGTGACGAAGCAACAAGAGCATCTTATAGGACGTTTATGAAATCCTATGAGGTGGCAGTCAAAGCTGCGAAGAGGGTGTTCTATGCAGCCTCGATTGCATCTGCCAGCTCACACCCAGCACAATTATTTGAAACAATTCGGTCTCTAACAGCTCTGCCACAATGCAGACAAAACACTAGGGAATTGGACATCGGCTGTGAGGCTTTTGCGAGCTACTTTGCAGATAAAGTCTTGGTGCTCTGCTGCGCCCTCCCCGCCACAGTTGAAACAGTGAGTGAACTCGAGACTCCATGCACGTCTTCTGGTCCCATTCTGGATTATTTCGGTCAACTCAGCCTAGAGGAAGTTGACAGATTGATTTCAACTGTACGCCCAACCACTTGCAGTCTTGATATGTGCCCCTCCTGGCCAATTAAAGCTGGCCGTGAGAGGTTGCGAGGTGCTCTCAGGGATATTATCAACAAGTCCCTCTCAGAGGGACTGTTCCCGGGGGCTCTCAAGGAAGCGATGGTCCGCCCCCTCCTTAAAAAGCCATCCCTGGATCCAGCGGAATTGGCCAACTATCGGCCGGTTTCCAACTTGCCTTATTTGGGCAAGTTAATTGAGAGGGCGGTGGCGAAACAGTTGCAGAGCTTTCTGGATGACGCTTCCATGCTAGATCCTTTCCAGTCCGGTTTTCGCCCGAGCCATGGGACGGAGACAGTACTGGTCGCTCTCACAGATGACCTCCAGAGACATCTGGATCGGGGTGGGACGGCAGTGCTGCTGTTGTTAGACCTGTCGGTGACGTTCAACACGGTCGACCATCAGCTGCTTGCCCACCACCTCACCGACATGGGAATTCAGGGGCTTGCCTTGCAATGGCTTGTTTCCTTTCTCCAAGGTCGGGGACAAAGAGTGGCCATTGGGGAGCAGCGGTCCCGAAGGCACCCACTAGTGTGCGGTGTGCCCCAAGGGGCTGTGCTCTCCCCGATGTTATTTAACATCTATATGCGCAGGCTGTTGATGGGTCTCCCCTGGTGGGAGCACATCCAGCCTGTGCTTAAGACTCTGCACTGGCTCCCAATAGCATTCCGGATTCGTTTCAAGGTGCTGGTATTGGCCTTTAAAGCCCTTTATGATCAGGGACCGGCCTACCTGAGGGACTGCCTTTCCCTGTATGTTCCCCAGAGAGCACTGCGATCAGGATCCCAAAACCGCCTGGACCTCCCTGGCCCAAAGGAAGTCAGGTTGATGGCAACCAGGACAAGGGCTTTTTCATTTGTAGCTCCATCCTATTGGAACGAGCTTCCTACCAAGATCAGGGCCCTGCGGGACTTGTCACAGTTTCGCAGGGCCGTGAAAACAGAACTTTTTAGGCAGGCGTTCTGCTAGGAGTGACGTCCTACCAGCAGCGCCCTGTGTGAACTCCGATCCAACACGACCTAGCGCGGTGGCACTGCTGAATGTGTCCCTAAACTGCACTTTATTTTTATCGCCATCGAATGAATGTTTTATATTGACTTGTCTATGTTTTTAAATGATGTATTTTATTCTATTACTGTAAAATGTATACGGCTTATCAGTTTTGGAAGCTGCCCTGAGCCCGCCTGGCAGGGAGGGCGGGGTAAAAGTGAAATACATAAATAAATAAAATTATCTCACTCATGCTATGTGTTGAGGTAACAGTGACTAAGAAGGCTGCTTTGGTTGTAAGTAACTGAAGGGAGCAAGTCTGGACATAAGTTCGGATAGAAGTAAAGAAAGATTCCATCATGGAATAAGGTGAGACATCACAAAAGAAATGCAGCTGGCTAAAGTACTCCAAATGGCGGCTGTGAGACTCTCCAAGAATAGGTTAATTCTTCAAGGCACATGGCATATGGCATAGCCAGAAACCGAATCACTTCTGTAGGCCCTCAAAGCAGCTGTCCTGCCAAACATAGGGGTAGAGGATCCTTTAATGGGCCTCAGCATTTTAATACTAATACTGACAATACGTTAGAAAAGATCAGGAAGAGTAGGTACGCTGCATAGTCTTTGGGGGACACCAATACACAGTCTCTCAGTTACAGACAAAGAAGGATTTCTCTTCATGTATTTATTTAAAATGTGTATATGCTGCTTTTCTGTTGTACACTCATAATCCCTATAAACATCAAAACCAAGGTTCAGCTAATCTTACTTTCCCCCCCTAAAGATTGTCAGATATGACATGCCCTATACATCTCTAGGCAACCCATTCCAAAGGACTTCAGCTGCTATTGAAAAAGCCCAAGTATGAGCAGACACTGTCTAGACCTCCCTCAGCACTAAGATTATAAACATCCTGTTTTGATTAGTGTAGAACTCTTGGGGCTCATACCTGGAGAGGCAGGTCAGAAAGTATGCAGGTCCCAGCCCATTGAAAATGTTAAAGGTTAAACAGAACTCTGAACTGAATTCAGAGAAGAACTGGCAGCCTGTGCAGGTGTTTCAAGATCTCAGTAATATGGCTGAATTTATTGGCTCCCATCAGCAACTGGGCAGTTGCATCCTGTATTAATTGAAGTTTCTGAGTTGTCTTAAAGGCAGCCCCATTACAGTAATCGAGTTTCAGAGTTACAATAGTACATATCCCATGGACAAATCAGTAGCATCCAAGGGAGGACATAATTTTTGAGCCAAATGTTACAGAAGGAAAGCATTGGTGCAGTCGTTATGAGTGGCGGACTGTAATCTGGAGAACTGGGTTTGATTCCCCACTCCTCCACATGAAGCCACCTGGGTGACCTTGGACCAGTCAGAGTTCTCTCAGACTCACCTACCTCACAGGGTGTCTGTTGTGGGGAGAGGAAGGGAAAGTGATTGTAACCTGCTCTGAGGCTACTTTGGGTAGTGAACAGTGGGGTACAAAACCAACTCCTCTTCTCCTTCTTCTTCCTCCTCTTCCTCCTACTAATAAGGCAATGCCAGGAATACTCCCATTTCTTTCAGTTTGTGAGGCTGGGTAAAGAAATTAAGATGCTTGCAAAGAAATGAAGATTTATCTTTCGGTCTAGATTTATCTTGTAACATCTTCATTTTTTATTCTTAGTCTTACATTCTTAGTAGGTGGCTCAAAAAGGCTGTGGAAATATATTTTCCTGGTTGCAGCTGGTACAGACAATGAGTTGCCAGGTACAGAGAGAACGTTTAGAACCAATCTTGGGCCTGCCAGAACAAAGGATTCTCATGCACTCCATTCCAAAACAGAAATGTCAGAGTATGTCAACACTCTCTCCTCAAAGCTCTCTTTCAAAAGCACAACTTTCAGTCTGGAGTCTTAAACACTTCTTGTCTTAGGAGTGAACTGCTTACAGAAAGAGCACCTTATGGTGTTATGTCCTTTGCTGAGAAGGCACAAGGCATGATTGTTATACTGTCCCATCTTACCTACAAAGTGGGAGCATTTTTGAAGGGCACCTTTTGTGCTATTAGGAAGAATATAAAGGTACCCAACTTCAAGATGAAGAAACAGAGAACTCTCTAAAGAGAGGGAATGTTTAACTATAACTTAATTAATTTTTGTTTTGTACTTTGAAGAAATGTCTTCCCTCTGACGTGGCAGAAAGAGACCTGATGGAAAGAGAAATGCCCCCTTCTCTTTCTGCTGAGAGGAAAGGGAAGATCTATGCTTTCAGGCGCTGCAGAAGTTTCTGTGGTAGGCCTATGCACAAGATCCATGTGTGACTGCACAGAGATCACAACTGAACTCAATGGACATTAGCTAACAAACAAACCATATGATGAGACATTCACAAGACTGGTTCATTTAAATCTCTACAGTACAGTGGAAAAAGTGGTCATCCGAATATGCAAGTTTCATACGCAACATGTTCTTCCATTTAAGTATTATTCCAATTCAATAAAGAAGCAAGTAGGCATATGAGATTCTTACTGTTAGCCTTTGTGAAAAGGTCTCATTTGGTGACAAGGTTGGATGTTATAGACAGGATCCATCTGGGATTTCACTCAGCTTCCTGACAATATAATCACTGTTTAACTCTGATTTTTAAAAATATCTACTTATTTCCCTGCCAGGGATATATTTTTTAAATAACTGCTTTCACTCAAGCCTGCAGTTGGACCATCTTTTCCATGAAGACAACTGGGGCAAAGGAAGGGATGGAACTTACTTGTAGTTGTCATCTTCTACAAATTTTTGAAGCTCTTCAATGTACCGAACAGATTTTAAGTATTTTTGCACATGGGGTAGTGTTATAAGGTGATCTGCATTAAAAAACAAAAACAAAACAGTACATATAAGTCTGGGAACAGTTAAGCAAAGCAGCTCTTAGCTTCTTCCACATATTCTGAACTTTCTCTTTGCACTGTCTGTGCTGAAATGTAACCTAAAGCTTTGCCATCAAGGACAGATAAATAATCAAGGAATCTACCAGTAATTTCACTGAGCACTGCACAGGCATGATGATCAGGATGAAATCATGCATCCATTGGAAATTACGGGAAGGTTCCAATGGAAATGTATATATGCCTATTTGCAATGCCATCAATTGATACAAGGATATTGTCAATTTTTTCACACATATTTACCAACTGTGGGAGGAGAAGGGCTGAAAAGCAGTTTATGAGGTGTATGTGAATTCAATACGGTTCTCATTAGGTATGAGACAAAAGATGCTGTGATGCACATATCTCCTGTGTGGGTTTACAAGGGAAAAGTAAGGGAACAGTCAGGAAGCGGAAAATCCAAGAATAGCTTGTAGGGATGGAGGTGGGATGCAGCAGCACATACTTGTAACACACAGCAAAAAATTCTGTTATAGTAACTTTAATATGGTTAGTTTTCAGTGGGAAAGGCAGGGAGCTAAAACACACATTGAAATGAGTACATGCAGAAAAGGGTAATGGGTTTCTAGAAATCAAAGCAGAACAAAGGAAAGCTACTGAACATCTGAAATGGACCTTGGCCATAAAAACTGATACCATGGGGGAGAAAACCCTCATATACAATGGATACAAGGATGCCTTCAAACTTAAGTTAGTCCAGCAAAACAAACACATAAAAAATTGTTTGCCTAATTTGGCATTAAAACTAAAATCTTACAAAAGTGGAGGATAAACTGTTTAGGAGTGCTGAGCTCCCTGGTTTACATTATCCCCTAAGGCCCCTCTTCATAGGAGGTAGACATCTGCTCTTAATTTACTATATTTAAAGTAGTATTGGTAAAAAGGAGAATTACCAACCATAGCTACAGGAGACTTGCAAATCAGCAATTATTCGGAGGATATTGTTCATTTGATTGGATCTTTGTTCATTCTCCATGATGCTGCCAGAAGCAGGATATGCTGAATCAATGTAGATTAAATCCAACAGATAAATCCCTGAAATTAAAGAGGGGAGAGGATTCAAGCATATGCTTTAAAGAGTTACAAACACATTAATGAACAATAAACAGAACAGTCAGGAATCACTAGTAACCCACTAACAATCACCTAATTGAAAAGCAAAACTAAGCTTCATTGGTTATAAAGGAAAACTTTGTAAGTGTTATATTTGCATTTATCAAATGTATTTATTTAATTACACCGCATGGGGACCCAAAATGCTTTCTTCTCATCCATTTTATCCTCACAACAACCCTGTATGATAGTTGAGGCTGAGAATGTGTGACTTTCTCAAAGTCACACACAAGTTCTATGTTAGAGTAGGGATTCAAACTTGGGTCTCCCAAATCTTAGTCCAACACTCTAACCACTACACCACAGTGGTCCCTGCATGGCACAAAGCACTCTCTTCTCTCATCCACTGAAAGATGGGCATACTCAGGATTCTGAGTAATAATCAAATTTTCTATCATTTATTCCACCAGAATATTTTCTTGTGTTTTCTTTTGACTGAAAGATTAGGATTTAATAAGATAAATTATTTATAGAATCAGATTTATAGAACAGCAGAAGATTAATTATTTATAGAAAATAAGAGGCTATGCAAACATAAAGCTGAGAACCTCTTGATCATGGTTAAGAGAGTAGTAGTGGGCTTTAGGCCCACATGCTATTTTCTCAGCATGAATTCGTGGCTTAATCATGGTTAAGCACTATATCTGTATGGATCCTAACCATTGTTAATGCTAATAACAGGGTTTGAAGCTGTTCTGCAAGTTCTGATAAGTCAACCCTGGTAAAATTTAAGCACATTACTGGTGCATATTTTATAGGGAAATGGCTGAGAAGCTAAATGCATTTTTTGCCTCTGTCATCACTGTGAAAGATGAGAAGTGCTTGTCCACTCCAGAACCGCTGATTTCAGGAGGGGTGTTGAAAGACCTGAGTCAGATTGAGGTGACAAGAGAGGAGGTCCTAAAACTGATAGACAACTTAAAAACTGATAAATCACCAGGCCCAGATGGCATACATCCGAGAGTTCTGAAAGAACTCAAATGTGAACTTGTGGATCTCCTGACAAAAATATGTAATCTCTCCTTAAAATCAGCCTCCATTCCTGAGGACTGGAAGGTAGCTAATGTCACTCCCATCTTTAAAAAGGGTTCCAGAGGAGATCCGGGAAATTACAGGCCAGTCAGTCTGACGTCGATACCGGGTAAATTGGTGGAAACCATTATTAAGGAAAGAATTAGTAGGCACATAGATGAACAAAACCTATTGAGGCAGACTCAACATGGGTTCTGTAAGGGAAGATCTTGTCTCACTAACCTATTAGTGTTCTTTGAGGGGGTGAACAAACATGTGGACAAGGGGGATCCAATAGATATTGTTTACCTTGACTTCCAGAAAGCTTTTGATAAAGTTCCTCATCAAAGGCTCCTAAGCAAGCTCAAAAATCATGGGATAAAAGGACAAGTCCTTTTATGGATCAAAAACTGGCTAATTAATAGAAAACAGAGAGTGAGTATAAATGGGCAGTTCTCCCAGTGGAGGGGGGTAAGCAGTGGGGTACCACAGGGATCAGTACTTGGTCCACTGCTTTTTAACTTGTTCATTAATGATTTGGAGTTGGGAGTAAGCAGTGAAGTGGCTAAATTTGCGGATGATACGAAGTTGTTCAGGGTGGTGAAAACCAGTGAGGATTGTGAGGCACTCCAAAGGGATCTGTCAAGGATGGGCGAGTGGGCGTCAACATGGCAAATGGGGTTCAATGTGGCCAAGTGCAAGGTGATGCACATTGGAGCCAAAAATCCTAACTATAAATACACGTTGATGGGGTCTGAACTGGCAGAGACTGATCAAGAGAGAGATCTTGGAGTTGTAGTAGATAACTCACTGAAAATGTCGAGACAGTGTGTGACTGCAATAAAGAAGGCCAATGCTATGCTGGGGATTATTAGGAAGGGTATTGAAAACAGATCAGCCAATATCATAATGCCCCTATATAAATCAATGGTGCGACCTCATTTGGAATACTGTGTGCAGTTCTGGTCACCACACCTTAAAAAGGATATTATAGCTTTGGAAAAAGTGCAGAAAAGGGCTACTCGAATGATAAAAGGGTTGGAACACTTTCCCTATGAGGAAAGGTTAAGGCGCTTAGGGCTCTTTAGCTTGGAGAAACGATGGCTGAGGGGTGACATGATTGAGGTTTATAAGATTATGCATGGGATAGAGCAGGTAGAGAAAGAGGTACTTTTCTCCCTTTCTCACAATACAAGAACTCGTGGGCACTCAATGAAATTGCTGAACGGTCGGCTTAGAACGGATAAAAGGAAGTACTTCTTCACCCAAAGAGTGATTAACACATGGAATTCACTGCCACAGGAAGTGGTGGCAGCTACAAGCATGGACGGCTTCAAAAGTGAATTACATAAGCATATGGAGCAGAGGTCCATCAGTGGCTATTAGCCACAAGGTATAGATAGGGGCTCTGGGGCAAGTGATGCTCTGTCATCTTGTTGCTTGGGGGGAGGGGTCAACAGTGGGAGGGCTTCTAATGTCCTGGCCCCACTGGTGGACCTCCTGATGGCACTGGTATTTCTAGCCACTGTGTGATACAGAGTGTTGGACTGGATGGGCCTTTGGCCTGATGCAACACTGCAACACTCTTATGTTCTTATATGCATTCTGGCTAATTATGGCAAAAGAAGAAGAGGATGAATTCGTGCTAGGTAGGGGAGTGAGCATGGAAGCCCAATCCATCTCCAGTCATTTAACCACATTGGCAAAGTATTAAAAATTAGTAGTGATGGTAGGTTTGCATGTTCACCCAATGGCCTGTCACCACCTGAAAACAAATCCTGCTTGGATTCTGCTTTCTCTAACAATCACAATATTCTTCACTCTGTCACCACAGTTTGATTCTTGGCACCATCTTTCAGAATCACAGTCGTTCTGAGCAATCTTATTCTTTGCAGATCTTTGCTTGATGCAAAATGCAGCAGTTAATGATCAAGCTGAGGTTGCATTTTTCTTCCTTCTGTGTTAGCAGAGACAGTTATTAAGTTCATGACTCTATAAGAGAAACCATGGTTTTATAGAGAATGTAATAGTCATATATGGATTCTTTACTTGAAAATGAAAAACAAGTATGTTATTATTTTTACTGCAAAGGTTATCTAAAGGCTAGAATCAATACAAATAGAAAGCTGGGGATTATGTATACCTGTGAGAGCTTGCAAAGAATAAATAAATAAAATATGATAGGACCGGGGAAAGAGACTTAGCTTTTACTTATGTTTATTCTTAGGGAGGCATGCCAGTAAACTGAATTTAAGAATAAAAACCAGAATTGTATGCTGTGTGATTATGTGCAAACATATTTGTTGATTTTTTCATCAGTACAATAATGTAACAGAACAACCGAGAGAAGAAACCAGAAGAGTAATAATAAAATGCTGACACGTCTATTTTTGCTTGCCCTAGTGTCTACATGCACACGTTTATACTTTGTAATTCTGCTTTTGCTAAGGATAAGGGTGTGTGGCTTCTGCTTTAAAAAGTTTCATATAGTTTATGCCATAATGTAATTCTAAAATGGTGATCATATATTGACCCAGAATAAGGGTAGAGCAAAAGCCACATTTACACATAAACTAAGCAAAATATATTTAGGGCCTCAGATTATAAAGAACCACAAAATACAACACACACACCCCATTTCAAAATGAGAATAATCCAGATTTTTTGTAATAATATGGGGTTTCTTAAACTCGACATGGATTAGGGCCTCAGACTGGCCCAGGCAGGAAACCCTCCCCCCACTGAACAAGGTGAAAAATAAATTTACTTAGGAGGATAAAACATCAAGGAAAGGGTCCAAGATCATGATCAGCAACATATAAACCTCAGTATAACTGTAATGATGTTTTACTAGAAGGCTCAAATGCTTGTTTAGGCAATACACGGAAGCAAAATAATCTGATGCACTGTAACTTCACTTTGTTACAGTTTTCATTGCAATAATTTAAGGGGCATGGATGTGAAGCCACATATGTTCACAGCCATGTCAAAGAGCCAGCTATCAAAAATAGGAATGTAAGCATATTCCACCCCAGGAAGCTGAAGCCTAGTGGAAGGAGAGTGTACTGCAATACACTGTCACACCTTCATTTCAGGACAAACTACGGTAAAAACATTCTTTTCCAAAAGTATTTTCAAAACAACTACCTATTATTGAGTTATAACTAATAATGTGGAGCTGAGCTCAGAAGATTATTTGTAATTTGTTCACATCTACATGTAGCATTGGTAGGGAGGTAGATAATTCATAATAATTTTACATGACAATCCTTCTTGCACACGTGGTAACAGTAATAACCCTTCTTACTACCTACAGAACACAGAGCGAGCCTCTCTGGTCAAAAGAAAAAAAATCTTTCCCTGCTCTAAATAAAAAAGCACATAAAAACAGCATGCATTTGTGGAAAGAATTTCTATAGGCCAAGCAATTAAAAAAAACCCTTACTTTCATTTGGGCAATATCTTTTCAGCACCCACCTAACTTGATTAGAAAAAAATTTTCCTCTTATATTTCTGACTCCCCCACTTACATCACATTAGCCAGCTGTGGGAGGAATCTACACAATTCACTCAAGACTCCAATGCTGATGGAAGCAAACTGCCTTGTTGTTTTTCACAATCTTGCAAAAAGGAGGGGAAAAGGAGGAGGTGGGTTTGACTGCTTCAATACAGGGAAAATGGCAAACATATACCTGATGTTTTAATGTCAGTCAATCAGTCAGTTAGCTTTTATTGGCATAAAACAATACCTTAAAATAGGATTACTATAAGAAAATATACATATAAAACCATATAAGACCATACATATAAAACCAAGCACTGGTGCAGCAACCTGCCTGCTGCAAAAGGAACCAGACCCCCCCCCCCGGTATGCCTACCAGACCTCCCCCCCAAAGGATCCGTACCCGTTA